ACATCATGACTTTCCCAACTTTATATTGCACAAAAAAACTTTCTTCTCATGCTCCCTTTATAGTAATCTTATTTCTTAAAAAAAAAAAAAAAAAAAAAATTCTGTTAGCTTCTTCCCTTAAAAAAAAAAAAAAAAAAAAAGAGGAATTAAATAACACTATGGTTAACCAGTGCCCAGCTCCCTTGACATGCTGAAGTATCAGCTGGATATAGTCCACCAGTAAACACTGTGTCTCAAATAGTCTTCAAGAAACCAGGAAAGGTTTTTAGAGTAATTGGGCAAGAGGGCTTCTCTTGGGGGGGAGGGGGAGGGAGAAGGCCCCTTTTAGGTATGGTCAACGCACACAGAGGATTTCAGTGTAATTGTGCAGAATACAAAAATTATTCGACGGGGGAACAGCAGATAGCATAATGGCTATGTCGCTGGACTCCCATGTAGTCGACTGCAGTTCAAGTCCCAGACCCGATGGCTTAAACTCACACCATGGGCATGTGCATGCATGCCCAAGGTCCCAAGAGGAGAATGGAGAAGGGATTGTGGCCTGGCCATACCCCCTGAAGGGTGATTTCTCGCTTTCTGTCTTTCTGGCAAGTGCGTACGCCCTATAGCAAAAACCTCTCAAAAAAAAATTTTTTTTTGAAGGAAATACTCTAGGAATACAGCCTGAGACACACAATCAGCTGACAAACCCAACTGATGGAATATTTGACAGTACAAGGGTCAAGAATATCACACTTTGGGGATGTAGCCATGAATTTAAACAACCCTGTGCTTCAATATAAAGAGGCCTCACAGTAATAGCTGAATGATCTGCTCTACAAAAGGTTTTTGTTCATCTTTAATTTTCTCAAAACACCACTAAAATAGTAAAACAAAATTTTTAAGTGTAAATCCACAATACCAAAAAAACAGACAGTACTTTGTTTCAGGTAATCTAGTAGAGTTAGTAACTTAAAAAAAAAAAAAAAAGCCAGAGGGCGCATGCAGGGAGAATGAGGTAGTGAGAATAGGGTAGTATATAAAGGCAGAGAGGAAGGGAAAGTGAAAGAGTACCCCCCCAAATGGGGAATAGGTACACCAGAATTCCTTCTTCTCTATCTCTTTTCTGGATTCTGTGCACGTGCACACACACACACCCCTGGCGTGTTTCTCAAGCCACTAACTCAGGACTGACTATGCAGTCAGTTATGTTTGATACAGCTGCCTTAACCACCACGCCACTGGCTGCTCTGGTAACTCCAAAAATCTTTTAAAATTCATGGCTGGGCAAGTGAGAAACTTTTCAGAAGCCCAAAATGAAGCAAACAATGGAATCCAGTGAAGTGTAATAGTCAAGTCCAAGAGTTAATTGGCATCCTGAAGCTTCTGCTGGCTACTGGTTAATCAGTCTATACAGAGGCACTGGAAACCCAAGGCCTTCGAGTCAGGTCAGATGAGACCCACCAGTAACTTCATCTGTGCTGACTATCAGGAAATTGCCCCACGGGAAGAAATGGCAAACAAATGTGACCACTTCACCTTGGCAATAGGAGGGGAAAATTTTTCTTCTAAGGGTTTTTATACACAGTGGGCTCAGCACTCGAAGGCAAAACTTACACGGTTCAGTGTGATAAACCCCAATCTAAGAGTTTAAAAGAACACACCTTAAAGCTAGGCCTCCCAGAATGTAGGCAGGTAAATACAAACTTATGATCTAAACCCCTTACATAGGGCCAGCCCTGAAGCTTCTTGGTTAACACATGTCTATCACACATGGCCAACTGTGGTTCAAATCCCAGCCTCACAGCTTGAAAAACATGCTGGGTCATGAGATAGCATGCATGCCAAAAATTACCAAGGGAATGGAACAAAAAGAGGACTGCAGCATTACCACATCTAATTATGGGATGCTTTCTTCCTCTCTCTCCCTCTCCCTATGGTGAGCACATACACCCTGTAACAATTAAAATAATAATAAAACACACACAAAAAAGGAAACAAATCAGTACAACCAGCACCCATAGGACTGCAGCCAATCATATCAAACAATAGACATAAATTACAATGAATATATTTAAATATTAAAAGATAATACTTAAAAGTATGAACACCCTGATTTCCTAAGTGGAACTCCTAAAATTTTCAAATATGCCATTGATATGAGAAACTCCATGAAGAGATTACATAGATTAGCACTGAATTAGTCCCATGGCCTAGTAGTTGAGGGAGTTGGATCCCACATGGCTGACTACATGGTTTAAGTTCTAGCCCATACAGCTCAAAAAACACCAGGCATCTGGACTTAGGTGCCCCAAATCCCAAAAGGATGGAGAAATGGAGAAGGGATTGTGGTATGACCAAAAGCAAAAAAACAAAAAACAGTAAAAAAGAAAACAAGATTAGACACAGCTAAAGAATAAACTTGAAGATAGAGCTGAATAAATTGGAAGACAGCTGAAGAAATTTAGAATAAAAAAAAAGATGAAAAATAAATGGGAGTTTAATAGATACTGAGGACAGACCGAGAATGTTTAATATCCTTCTAATAAGGGATATCAGAAGATAATGGAGAATGTAGGATTGAGGCAATATCCAAAGATATAAAAATAAGGGTTTATATCAGAAGTTTGTTATTTACCTGCCTAAGTTCTTGGAGGACTAGCTTTAAGGTGTGTTCTTTTAAATTCTTTTTATATCCAAAGATATAAAAATTTCCCAAATCTAATAAAAGGCAAAAATTTTCAGATTCAAGAATCTGATGAAGAATCATAAAAAGCTTCCTAAATAAAGAGACCCACACCTAGGCACTGCAGAACAAAGGGCAGATGTAGCAGCAGTCAGAGGAAAATGGCAGACTGTGCATAAAGAAATGAGTTTAATAACTGGCTTCTAAACCTCAGAGGAACTGCTCAGGAAATAAAATGAGCCCAAAAAAGGTCTGCAATGCCAAAACCAGTGGTGAGCAAAATAAATGGCAAAAAGGAATTAAGATTTAAAATTGTCTACATAGGCAACAACTGTTTAATACCAAAATTATGGAGATTAAAATAGATATTTTTAATTTTTAAAATTTAAAACAGCATTTATGTTGGGAAGGATAAAATAGAATTTTTAAAATTAAAAAAAATATATCAACCCACAAAAAATGGGGGGAAAAATATGTACAAACAAAGCAGGACAGGGCCAGCCTGTCGCCAAGTGATTACAAAGAGCTGCCTCCCACAGAGCCAACCAGTTGGAGTGCCAGACCCAGCAGCTAGAAAAACATGCTGGGTTCACATTGCACGTGCATAAGTAACGGACTGTGGCATGATTACAAAGCACAATTTAGGACGACAGAAATATCTCCAAATAGATCAATAACTACAACAAATTATTAAAGGACTAAATTCTTCAGTAAAATACTTGTCTTCTTTTTTTTAAGAAAGATTTTTGCTAGAGGGCACATGCATTTGCCAAAGACACAGAGACAAAAAGCGAGATAATCACCCCTGGGGGGGGGGCCAGAGATGGCCACGCTGCATTCCCTTCTCCTGTTCTCTTGGGCATACATGCACACACGCCCAGTGTAAGTTGCTAAACATGCAATACTAACATCTAAATCTGCAAGGATGTTCAATGTAAAAATTACTTTTAGAAGAGCTAAATTACTCTAAGAATCAAATTTAGCAAAAGAACTCTACCTTATGGGAATGAATCAGAATACTTAGCTCACCCTAAAATAGGAGCTAAAACATTCATTCAAAAAATGTCAATCATGGGAACCAGCAGTTAGCGTAATGGCTATGTCGCTGGACTCCCTCGTAGTCGACCGCAGTTCGTGTCCCGGACCCGGTGGCTTAAAACTCACGCCGGGCGCGTGCGCGTGCGTGCCCAAGATCCCGAGAGGAGAATGGAGGAGAAGGGATTGCGGCGTGACCATCCCCCCTGGGGGGTGATTTCTCGCTTTCTGTCTCTACGTCTCTCTCTGTCTGTCTGGCGAGCGCACGCGCCCTACAGTGAAAAAAAAAAAAAAAAGTCAATCATAATTAAGCCCAAAACTACCTTTTAGGCCAAGTGTTGAATAAGGACACAAGTGACGAGGCAGAAAACTGCTTTCAGAAGCCTCATTTACCGTAACAACTTTATGCAGCAACCAACATGAGACTGGAAATACTGAAAAATTATGGTGATTTCTGAATAGCATGTTACTGCATTTGAGTGAAATTTTAAGCCCAAAATTGAGACTGTTGAATTTTTAGTACTGACACTAAAGAAATGGTCAAGATTAGGACTCAGAAATGAATTCATATTCTACCTATTTCTACCATAGCTCAGCCTGTTCATCTCAAAGACATACTTACCTGTCTTACATGGCACTTGTTAGGACTAAATGAATGAACATGGAAAAACTTAGTAAAGCTCCAATGGTACCCAGTAGCTATTAGATATACTCAGGAATCTTCATTAAGACTTTTTAAGTCTTGCTGATAATTAAGTACTTAGCAACATATGGTAGTACCATTGCATTGTCCTCTAGAGACCAGATTTTACAATATTTCAACAGTAGAGGTGGATGATTATGGAGGGTGGGTGGGACATAATTTTCCAAAATACACTGCAAATTCCATCCCAAACCATTTGTAAATCACCCTACAAAGTTTTCCCAAGAGTCTGATATAAACAGAAAATTAACTACTAAGATGTATACAGTAACAATCTTCAACAGCTATAATGTTTTCTGAAAGACACCCCTCTCTTTAGTCCACTTTCAGTTTTCCATTAATACTGTATTTTCATTTTGTAAGTTTAATTTTTTCTGTTTCACAGAAACAGATTACACATTTCAAGTGCCATATATATGGACACTACGTATGCATGTGAACATTCACCTGAACATTGTTAAATACAAAGTAATAAAAAATATTTTAAAATACACAACTAGAAATCTTATTGGTCTTCAGCTTTAGTGAAGTGCTTAGAAAAGTTTATTTTGTGCTCAGAATATTTTTCTAAGGCATTACAAATTACACATCTGACTCTTCAATAGTAGAATATTTAATATTCTAATGGAGAGGACTTTAACAATGTACATTATGATACTGTAAATCTAATAGTCACACAGCAACAAAACCTGAAAAGGGTGAACATTAAAGAAACTATCTAATGAGGTGATTCATTCTGAGTATTACAGGTTTTCTCCTTCCTGTGGCTTATAGTTCTCCATTATACCCCTACCCTGGCTATAAGGTGAAAATCTTGTGTTCTAACAATTTAATAAGTAAAATTACATTAAATATCCCATCCTGCTGATTACTACCATGAAATCGGTATTAGCAGTCATACAACACAAAAAAACAGAATGTGAAGTTCATCTTTTTTAAGAACATAAAAATGTTACAATTTTAAAACATCACGCTTACAGACCATAAAACTCATTAAGAACTTTCTGTGTATTAGGACTGATTTAAAACATGCACTAGATGTTTTCCTGAGTAGAATGCAAACTTTACACAAATTAAACTTTTCTGACTATTCAAAATTGTCAAGCACTGAGGCTCCTTTCCATATCAAATAAAAATAAGGAATGTTCAGCTTCACATAAAAAAAAAATTCAAGTAGAGATTCAGTAAGAATATGAAATCCAAAATAAGTGGCCAAAAGTTGGAATTATCAATAGACAGCACAGTCTGCTGGATCTCTCAGTAAACTTTAGTTTCAAACAATGAAAAAAGTACGATTCAGCAAAACACAAAAAATATTCCAAGAAATTATCACTGAATTTGAAAAATGAACATAACCCAAGGCAAATAAAAATATAAACCACACACTGAACAGAGGGAACAAAAAGGCAATCACCTTTAATCAAGAATGTACCATGGACTTATAAAAACATCCCATCCTAGTGGATAAATAGTAATGTCCTGTATTATCATATCATGTGTAGAAAATTGTAATTAAAGGTAGTTTTTATTAGTTGCATAATCTAAAAATATGAAGAAATTTTAGACTATATTGCTAGAAAGAACATAGACACATTTCTTGAGATAATGGGCAAAGTTCCCATTTATGGGAAATATGATCTTTTTTTCACATAGTGAAACCTAGAAAAATTGTATTAAATAAAATTTTTCTCTAATCTTAAATACCCCAATAATGCAATACTTGGGAAATTAATTTCTCAGCTCAAACTTGAAACAGATTATTATCAAGCACACACACAAATCTTATTGCTTGGCACCAGATTTTTCAAAAATGAAAGAACTGTTTAAACCATCGTACTGTTCTCAAATCATATTTCAAACTGTTATACCTAATGTTTTTAATTTCTTAACACAGATTGTTCAATCTAGTGACAATCTAGACTGAACCCTACAATTAACAAGCAAGTCACAGTTCACTTCAAATTAAAAAAAAAAAAGACCAAGTTTCAGTTTTTGTCAAAATGATATTGAGATATCCACAGAACGAACTAGGATTTATCTGTAGCCAGTGATGGACCCACAGAGCGCTGCCTTATTGCATTCTGGGAAGAGTCTGTCTTCATCTTGTTTTTACTTTCAGCCTCATCTTCTGAAACATCTTCCTCATCAGCCTCTTGTTCCTCTTCCACTCTTTTCAGAGGTTGAGAATAAGATTCTGGTAATAATTTTTCTTAAAGACAAGGACAAGAATTGATTTTTTGTTGATGTATTAGATTTGCTTTAGAATCAAATAAAAATAGTGTAATGATCCGTATGTCAATAAACTGCTTTGCACTTATTTAGATCTCTCAAACTTAATAAGATAAAAAGAAATAGGTACTATAAAAACAATAGTTAGTTTAGAAGGTCCATTTTATTTACCGCATTCATTATAGTTAGCCACCTATTTATGAACTGAATAAAATGAATCAACATTGATACTATGAATACAAAGTTGTAAGAAAACATGCCGTATTAAATACAACCATCTTTTAAGAATTCGTTAGTAATTTTTTTGAACAATCATACTAAATTTTCACTACTACCCTTGTTTCAGTACTCACCAGAGGAACAGGAATCACAAATTGACACTTGAACATGATATTCCTATTTTTTTTTTTTTGGTTCCACAAATGTGCTTCTTCCTGATCCCAATCTATCCAGCTTTATTAAGGTATAATTAAACAATAATCTGTATAAGTCATAATTATGCAGCTCAGTAAGTATTTAAATATGTACACACATAAATATCCTATTTTTTTAAGAGATTTTTTGCTATAGGGCATGTGCACTCTCCAAAGACAGAAAGCAAGTGGATTGTCTTTAGTTGAATGTTGAATGCTCAACAGCACCCAGCCAGTTTCCAGTAGCTCTGCTCCCCTGAAGTGTGACAACCAAAAATGTCTCTGGCTATTGCTAAATATTCATTGAGAATCAAAATCAATTGAGCATTAAACTGGGGGGGAATGGCCACATCACAATCCCTTCTCCTCCAATCTCTAATCCCTTCTCTTCCAATCTCCTCTCATGCCCTGCATGAGTTTTTAAGCTGCTGAGTCCAGGACTCGAATTATACTCAACTATGTGGGAGTCCAGTGATGTAACCATTACACCATCTGTTCGTCCATTATTATCATTATATATAATTTTTAATTTGCCAGCGGGTTATGAACTCACCAGAGAAAAACATGGCAGGTGGTATGCATTCCCTAACGAGGCCATCTCCATTTCTCCATTCTGTCACGATTTGTTTAGGGTATGCACACACAAGTGTATGGCATGTTTTTTAAGTTGTTGGGACCAGGATTTGAACCACAGCTGGCCATGTGGGATGAGCTTCTTTGATAACTAGGCCATGGAATAGGCCCCACTTCTGTTTTTTATAGGGCCAGTTACTAATTAAGTTTAGAACACACCATGTCACTGAGACACAAGACACAGAAAACAGAATCAGGCCAAAGAGCTTAATTCTGTTCAGTGAAGAGAATAAATTCCCTAATCCGAGGCAGTCCACAATGGGGGTAGAGGGGAGCTTAAAGTAAACTATAGGAATTCGTGTCTGGTAGTAGATGACATTTGTTTGATCTTCCTGGCAGCCTTCTTTCTGGTGGCTTTACAGCCCCTTCCCTAAGCTATAGCCCATGTGGTTCTAGTGAATGGAATGTTTCTCCAAGGGTGATTTTGACTCTCAATGAATATTAAGCAGTACCTACAGACATTTTTGGGGTTATCACACTTGGGGGGGGGCAGTGCTACTGGAACTTAGCTGGATACTGCTGAATATTCAATGACATTCAACAAAAGACAGTCCACTTCAATTAAGAATTATCCAGCCAGAAGTGCCATTAGTGTTAATGTGTTTGAGAAACCCCAGTGTACAGTGACTCTTCTTACAAGTGCATTCATTTATCAGAATTTCTCCAAAGACAGGTTGAGTATTGGAAGAAAAGAGATTGCCTTTTTACTCCAGGATTTTAACTATGGCTTTCTATAGTCATCTTATGCTACTGACTAGAAAGAACCAAGCTAAAGGAACAAGTAAAAGTACGAGAACTGAGCAACTCAAAAACACATAGCATCTTAATATATAGGACCCAAGAATCTAGTAAACTCTGACCTTAAACTTGACATAGACACCAATAAATTCCTATTTTGCTGAAAGGTAGAATGAACTGGGTTTGGTTTCTTTCCCTGGCAATTCAAAATCTAAGCAACCAAAATAAATCATGTCTGCTATAGAAGGGGCAATATCACATTAAAGTCTGGATTAATATCTATCAGTTGTGTCACTAAAGGAATATAAACTACATAATCATATACACAGTGAATATTTACTGAGTGCTGACTAATGTCACTAAGATATGAGCATTAAAAGTACCTAACTTAAAGGCTTTACATGACCCAATGGGGAAAGCATAATTATTTCCATTTCACTGCAGAGAAAACATGCTCAGAGATTAGGACATTTATGCTACACATTGCCGTTAAGTGACAGAACAATTCCCAGTCAGATCTAACTCAAAGACCATGCTGCCTTTTTTCTGAATGACTTGGGAAGGCATCCAAAAAACCCATTGCTTTATGCCTTTTAATCTCCCCAAATTAGATGTGTGGAGGTACAGCTTTCGCTAATAATGGCTTACTGTAAACCTTAAGGCCCAGTAGCTTCAGTAGCTTAACAGAAATCAGGTAAGTCATTTTTAAAAATTCATTTCCAATAAATGAATTTCCTTGTAATTTCCTAAAGGAGACAAAATACCATTTCCTTAGGTTCACCTCTTAGAAAATGTCTACAATTGTGCCTTCCTACCCTTCTCATTTATGAACGTTTACCTAGACTTCCACATGAACAACTGAGGTTTAAGTCCTAGACCCAGAGGCTTTGAAACTAGCAATGGGCACATATGTATGCATGCTCTAAATCCCAAAGGGAAAAGGAAGACAGAATTACGGCACGGCCATAGGCCCCAGAGTAGGGGCATTTCCCCCTTTCTGTCTCTGTCTCTCCAGCGAGCACATGCGCCCTATAGCAAAAATCTCTCTTAAAAATAGAAATTCTCAGCCCCATCACAGAACTTCTGAATCTAAAACATGGGCTGGATATCAGTAAACTGTTTCAACAAGTTCTCCAGATAAGTCTGATACTATTAAGTTTGTTCTAAGAGTTAAGATAGATTCCAACACTTCATCCTCAGAAAAATCTATTTATACCGACTTCCAAAGTAAAATTTTGGTAGATAACTGACAGAAATGAGAAGAGAATCTGGGAAGAGTGGCAATGATTCTGTCCACATATCACATGACTTAGTACAAACTCCAGTACATTTACGGGATCCAAGGTAAATTGTACACTGACCACAGATTTTATGACTGCTGTAGGACTTAAGTGAGTGTAGAAAAAGAATAATCAAGAAAACCAAACATAATATAGATGTTTTTGTGTATTTATCGTTTGTGTTTACTAAATCAAATCTTACATTTTAGTCACAATTTAAAAGTTGGTAATACTTTATATTGATTTCACTTTAAAAACCTTACACCTAACAATAAATTGGTCTTTTAAATAATTTGTGCTTGTCTTTTTTGCCAAAAGGTCAGTAGCCTCAGTGTATAAAATGATTACCTCCCTAAATGACACATGTCCTTTTCAGTATCAATAAAACTACCTAGGAAAAGAAAAGTGACCTATCAGTTATTCAAGGGACATGGTAAATGTAAACTCCACTAATTTTAGGTAAGGAGTTTCGACCTCAATAAATCCTAACCCATGGAAAGCAGCATAATAAAAAAAATACCCAGCCAGTCTGACCTTGGTCTACACATAGCTGTCATTTCTGTGCGACTGTGAAAACATGTTTCATCTCTCTAAATCTTAAGTTCTCTCAACTACAAAACTTGAGCAGTATTCTCTGCAGTCTACTACAGTGCTGCTGAAAAGCAAATGGGATAAGAGAAGTAGAAGGTTGCCCTTTCAATTTATATACCATAAATATCAGGGCTTCCAATAACAGTACAATTTTCAAGATTAAAAATAAATGGCTGGTTAGGTAATTAACTACAGGAATTGCTCTCCCCAGTAGCTGACCAGAAAAAAAACTTGGAATTGGCCAGCATGCAAAAAGTAAATACCTTCACATGTGGTCACAATCTAATGAATGATTTCAAGAGTGGAACATATTCACCTTTTTCTTTCTTTTTTTTTTTTTTTAAGTTTTTGCCACAGAATGCATGGGCTCCCTAGAGATGAACAGAGGGGAAAAGTGAGAAATCACTCCCCTATGAGGGATGGCCATGCGTACGTAATCCCTCCTCTCAGATTTTGGGCATGTAAGTATTATGTGACAGGATTTTCAAGCCACTGGGTCCAGGACTTGAACCACAGTGAGCCAGGTGGGAATGAAGCGCCTTTAGCCACAATGCCACCTGCTGATCCCCATGTTTAAAAAACTCAACTCAGGTATACCCAAATAAATTCATGAATAAAATAAAATTTTCAAATAAGTTTTTAAGATCAACATTATTACTATCTAAGAGTTCCATGCAAATGTTAAAACTCACCATATTATTAGGCTATTGAGATTTCTGTGCATTTTTACATAGAAAAACAGAAAAATACATGACTTTCCCAACAACCTAGTACATAAGAAAATAACATCCTAAAATCCACTGGATTACCATTATCGCATGAAAAATATATATCTCCTGCCCCCTTCCCCCTTATGCTAAAGCTGATATAGACCACATTTAAGAAACTAAATTAAGGACCAGCAAATGGCAAAATGGTTACGTCACTGGACTTCCATATCGCCGAAAGTGGTTTGAGTCCCAGACCTAGTGGCTTGAAACTCACTTCAGGCATAAGTGCATGTCTGCCCAAGATCCCAAGAGAAGGGACTGCCATCCCCTAGGGGATGATACCTTGCTTTTTGCCTCTCTAGCAAGTACACATATCCTATAACAAAAAAACTCTTAAAAGAAAAGAAACCTAAACTAAAAGGGCAACCTGTGAAAAAACGGGATTGTGTTTATAGAAATAAATGGGGTTATGGAGAATAAAAAGTAAAGTTGTTATAATGTACTTACTTGAAGGGTATGGCTGTGGTCGGCGCCTTTTTGAAGGACAAAGGCAATCTGCCACAAATATCATACACTGCAAAAACAAACGTAAGACATCTGAATGCACAATATGATTCAGCTAGCACAACCACGTGAAAATATCACACTTTAAAACAGTTTCTCCCTAGAACTCAAAATGAAGTACTTACAAGTCCCAGCAACAGCCCTGAAAGCAGAGTTGCTAAAGCAAACACTGCATATGATCCCCAAACCGGTAATCCAAGGTCTTCAGTAAGATAGTTATGGCAAGTCTAAAATCAGAAGACAAAAACGTCCTAAAAATCTGTTTGCTTTTTAAAAAGAGATAGTGTTAAAAGTATGTAAGATAGAAATAATATTTTAGTCCATACCCTGATCCACATAGATAGTTGGAAAAGTGCTGACATACTACTCATCCTAAAATAAAACAGATGATTGAAAAACTGAATAAAGTACATGGTTCTGTATATATCTATATATTCTATTTTCTACTCCATAATTTCCCCAATGACAGACAGTATTGCTGATGTTAATTGAGACTAGTGACATATCACTGATTTTCATGTCTATAAATAAGGCTTGTTCATAAAAAGTAACAAGTTTCCGAATTGTTATTACCATGTGATGTCTCCAGAAATAAAGTATTTGACTTTGTCCTTTTCTCCTATTGCTCTAACATGAACATTCCCCCTTTCATCTGATGACTTCTCCAAGGTAAAAGGACTTAGCTCTACAAAACCAGTTGGAAAAGCAACTCTAACTGCACCTAAAATCTTCCAAATAAGCAAAGAAAGGGGCCTAAGGGAAGAAACAGGAGCACTTGTTGAACTGATTCTTCCCTTTAATAACCCCTGTTTTGTTAAAACTACTAGATTGTCAGGGTCAGCAGATGGCCTAATTGTTCCGGCACTGGACTCCCAAGAAGTTGACCAGTTCACATACTGGAAGTAGTAGCTTAAAATTCATGCCGGGTGCATGTGTGCGCATGCCCCAAATCCTGAGAGTAGAATGAAGGGACTGTGGTGTGGCCATACCCCATGCAGGAGTTATTTTTCACTTTCTATCTCTAGCGAGTGCACGCACCTATGGCAAAAATCTCTTTTAAAAAATAAATAAATAGAGGGACCAGCAGTTAGCGTAATGGCTATGTCGCTGGACTCCCACGTAGTCGACTGCGGTTCGAGTCCCGGACCTGGCGGCTTAAACTCACACCGGGCGCGTGTGCATGCGTGCCCAGGATCTCAAGAAGAGAATGGAGGAAAGAAGGGATTGCAATGTGGCCATCCACCCTGGGGAGTGATTTCTCGCTTTCTGGCGATCGCACGCACGTACCCTAGAGCAAAAACCTCTCCAAAAAAAAAACTTATTAAAATTTGCAATGACATTAGTTTGGTATCTTGCAATGATATACAAAATATACAAGAAATAAAAGCTAGATTATAACAATTAAAATAATTATTTTTCACAATTATATCAAGGCACTTTGATAGGCCATTGGAAAAAAGGGATGCTTCAAAAGTTAAAGTTGGTGGGTTCTCAATCATTTTCTCTTTAGTAAGAGGTGTTGTGTTGCTCGTATTGCCAAGGGCTTTTTTACACAGAGAAGCCAAAGCCAAAGTAGGATGATCGGCTGACCTAACTGCCAAATAAACTCAAACTTCACTGATTTCCTTTCTGGAGTTTTGACTTCATTGAGAACTAATGCAAGGAAACCTGGAGAAAGGAATCTTGCAAAGCTAACTGTGAGTGCTCTCTACATAAACTGCTGCCCTGAGAATCACCAGACATTTATAAGGAACTATCTCCTACTAACAAAGGTAAGATCCATTTATGACATTAGACTTCAAAGAACAAAAACCAGTTACATTTTTAGTTCAACACAGGAGGGTATTTTTCAGTTACATTGATTATGCTGTTTGGAAAACTGTCTCACTATAGTCCCCATTAGATGATTTCAGGAATACTAGGTTCTCTAACTAGGTTGGGTGTAGAGGTTCAGCTGGTGAGTTCTGACAGACAATTCAGAGGTTTTCTCAGGAAGGGAGGTATGCAAGGAAAAGATGCTACAGATGAACTTCTACTTCCAAATAACTGCCTTAGGCTCATCTTTCCTCTTTACCCAGATTCTAGAGCATTTCTCTCCTCACATGGTTGATATTCCAACTCCTCAGCCTCCATGTAAGGAAAAGGCTTACATGGGATGTAACCACACTGGGATGAGTCCAGGATGACCTCGGCACAACTTGCCATTCCCAGGTCTCCAAACAACTAGCGAGGCTTTGCATCCCAACAGCGTAGAAAAGACCCATGTTTGACGTTCCCAACCCTTATGCTCCACAGCAAACTGCTAGGGAGAAGTTCACTCATCTTCTAGCTATTTATAAAGCTCACTGGTTAGTCACACTATTAGGGTTATTGCTGATCCACACTATTAATACAAGCCATAAGACCAACCAAACATAATTTTACCACTTTACACTAAGAACTGAAGCCTAAAGGTAGCATGAGTAGGAAAAGTTTGAGCCCTCTCATTCAACTGATTGAAGCGATACCTTTACCCATTACATTGCTCACACTCGTAGGGGAATTACTTAGCTTTTAATGATACATATGACCAAATCTATACAGCTCAAATATTCCTGAAGAAACACTCAAGAATTCTACAGTTGTCTCTTTTTAACTTAACAAGCATAAAAGTATCTGCTTAACTTAGAAGATAGTCAAGTTAAAAACATCAAATACATACTAAATTTAATATATCTTATGAGCCTAAGAAACAAACTATGAATGCTTTCTTCACATTGAATGTCATGATATCTTCCAGTGAATTCTGAAATAGGTAAGACAAAGTCTCTCATACTTACAGGACAGAGCCTGGACCAAACCATGAGGAAACAGGTTCAACGGTCTTCCACTCTTTTTCGCTTATAAAGTTAATGAAGTCCTTCTTGGTCCTTGGACCCTGATAGCGCCTAAATTCACCATCTTTACAACTAGGGAGAACCAGAATTAAATATTAGCCAGCAATGAGAAATAAACTGTTTTTACTTTGATATTTCTAGACTCATTTTACAGTCAATCTGAATATTCAAAAGCATTAGCTATATATAAGTAGCATATTATACTAATGCCTACTAATGACATCAAAGCCCCAAATTTAAATAAACAATGAGGTTACATTTTAAAGCTATCATAAGAATTAAGATTTTGTTATTGTTGCTCTTCCAAATAATAAAACTATGGAATACAGTAAGTAGACAAATCTCAGAAAAACTTTTTAAGCCTTATGTGTAACATACACAATATAGGAATTAGTATATAAAACGTTATTAGAACAATACCTGGCTCATATTAATTATTAGCTATTGTTAAACTGCAAGTAACCAATTTAAGGTATTTTTCTGGTACTTTCAATCATAATCACATTATTCCAGTCACCATGCTTTAAATTCTGAAGACATCTGGCATAGTGCTTCAGTTCTTCCCATTTCAGTGATCATATTAGTCAGTTTTCCACTCTTCCTTATACCTCCTCCTCCTCCCTATCACTAGTAGATGGGTTCCTGTAACAGTCGTGACCGTTCTCCTGGTTCCCACATCTTGTGGTACAAAACGTCACTAGCTCCTTACTACCTAAAGGGTGACAGGATCCTTCATCCATTCAGATAAAGGACATCAATCATTCACTCAAAAGCACAAACTTTCATGAAGAAGGTGGCACTGAGCCATTCTCTTAAGGATGAGTAGGATTTTAATAAGCAGAAACTAGACAAAAGGACATGGTAAATACTGATTGAAAGAAGAGGAGGGACCACCAAATGTAATGGCTATGTTGCTGGACTTCCATTTGGTCGACCACAGTTCGAGTCCCGGACCTTTTGACTTGAACTCATGCCAGGTGCATGTTTGCACATGCCTAAGATCCTGAGAGGAGAATGGAGGAGAAGGGATTGTGGCGTGGCCATCCCCACCCCCCCCTTCTTGGTCCTTGGACCCTGATAGCGCCTAAATTCACCATCTTTACAACTAGGGAGAACCAGAATTAAATATTAGCCAGCAATGAGAAATAAACTGTTTTTACTTTGATATTTCTAGACTCATTTTACAGTCAATCTGAATATTCAAAAGCATTAGCTATATATAAGTAGCATATTATACTAATGCCTACTAATGACATCAAAGCCCCAAATTTAAATAAACAATGAGGTTACATTTTAAAGCTATCATAAGAATTAAGATTTTGTTATTGTTGCTCTTCCAAATAATAAAACTATGGAATACAGTAAGTAGACAAATCTCAGAAAAACTTTTTAAGCCTTATGTGTAACATACACAATATAGGAATTAGTATATAAAACGTTATTAGAACAATACCTGGCTCATATTAATTATTAGCTATTGTTAAACTGCAAGTAACCAATTTAAGGTATTTTTCTGGTACTTTCAATCATAATCACATTATTCCAGTCACCATGCTTTAAATTCTGAAGACATCTGGCATAGTGCTTCAGTTCTTCCCATTTCAGTGATCATATTAGTCAGTTTTCCACTCTTCCTTATACCTCCTCCTCCTCCCTATCACTAGTAGATGGGTTCCTGTAACAGTCGTGACCGTTCTCCTGGTTCCCACATCTTGTGGTACAAAACGTCACTAGCTCCTTACTACCTAAAGGGTGACAGGATCCTTCATCCATTCAGATAAAGGACATCAATCATTCACTCAAAAGCACAAACTTTCATGAAGAAGGTGGCACTGAGCCATTCTCTTAAGGATGAGTAGGATTTTAATAAGCAGAAACTAGACAAAAGGACATGGTAAATACTGATTGAAAGAAGAGGAGGGACCACCAAATGTAATGGCTATGTTGCTGGACTTCCATTTGGTCGACCACAGTTCGAGTCCCGGACCTTTTGACTTGAACTCATGCCAGGTGCATGTACGTGTGTGCCCAAGATCCCAAGAGGAGAATGGAGAAGGGATTGCAGCATGGCCATCCCCAACCCCCTGGGAGGGGGTGACTTGTCGCTTTCTGTATCTCTCTCTCTCTTTCTGTCTTTCTGGCAAGCGCATGTGCCCTATAGCCAAAATCTCTCCAAAAGAAAAAAAGAAAGAAAAGGAAATTATAGGTAAGGAGGGGGAGGGAGGGGGCTGACAAGTGAAAAGGAGAGACAAATTCCAGCCAGTTAAGGGGTAGGTAGGAAAAAGGACCAAGTAAAAAGGGAGGGAGAGAAGCACTCCTAGAGATAGAGAATAGAAATTTAAATAAATATAAAGGAAGGATTAAAAAAAAAAAATCATGGAAAGAAAGGGACAAAAGAAAGCAAGATACAGATGCAAAGGGAGGAGAAAAGTACCTCCTTGTTTAGTAGGTACAAGATTTGAAATTTCCTACCCCTACTTTAGAAGACAGAGTCAAACTAAAAGACCTGATACTGAAGACTATATAATCTTAATCTCATTCATTTGGACTCATTTGGATTCAAGCCCAAACACCGCACACTATTCTTCCCCTACCAAGTCTGTGCCACAGCACTTCCTTAGCTACTTTACCATAACAGGATCCTACAAATGACTGTTTATAAAACTGTCCTCAGAATGGAATGCTGACCCAGCACTGTGGAAAATTCTATCTTCAAAGTTTCATTTAAACTTCATATTTTCCGGGAAGCACCCCATCTCACAATGATTTCTCTCCTTCACCCAACTTCCTATGGGATCCACCACCACTCTGGGTCAATAATCATTTACTATGCTGAAGAGGACTTCATCTTTTCACATGAACAGCATCTTTCACAACACTGAGAATCTTCGAGAACAGAGAATGTTTCACGCTTCACTAATCTATTTAAAGGCACCATGGGTAGCACAAACAGCCAAACCTCAGCTCTTCAAACACCATCCAAGCCAGAAGCCTATTACTCAGTTTACACTTTAATCCATCTTTCTCTGTAAGTGAGAATCTTCAAATACTTACTGATAAATAGTAGGAAGAGCAGTTATGATAAACCGTCCACTCAGTCCTATAAATGATAAAGAACAAAACAGAAGGTTTTATAGAGGTCAGTCACGGACAACTTAAAAGTTGATTCTAAATTAAAAAATATAAAATTATGTAACTAAAAATAGTTAAGTTTTATAATAAAAAATAGAAATTATGTATTTAAAGAAACATACTGTGTATTATCTCAAGAAATATGTAAAGCTCAAGGAGTAAGACATTTGTAAATATATGTAAGCACTTAATTATACTGTTTGATTAAGACTATTAGCGATGATAAAAATGAAAAGTAAACAGATAGACACTCCATGAAAAGAAAAACCAAAGATGTACATAAGTAACTATGTATATCAAATAAAATAGACCTAATTCAAAAACCGTTAAAGAGACAGGAAAGTCATTCTATGAGCACGTGCACACGCACACATATCTTTACACACACACACACACACACAGGCACTCAAATTAAAGCAATTATTAGCTCTAAAATAAAGTAAAAAAAATAAGACTCTGATTCAGTAATAGTTGAGGACTTCAACACCCTACCTTCTAAAGTGGACAGGTGATCCAGACAGAAAAAAAATCAACAAAAAAAAAATATCAAATTTAACTACAGACCTAATGAACCTAAATAACCTAAAAATCATCTCACCCAAAAGCTGCAAAATACACATTCTTCCCAGCAGCACATGAAACATTCTCCAAAACAGACCATAGGTTAAACCACAAAACAAGTCTCTCAAAATGAAAACAATGGGCTACAGCAAAATCAGTACTAAAAAGGAAATTAGTAACAATAAATACCTACATCAAAAAAGAGGGGCCAGCAGGTGACATGGTGGTTAAAATGCTAGTTTCCCAAATGGCTGACCGCTGTTTGAGGGTCAGACCCAGTGGCTTGAAAATCATACCATGTGTGTCTGCATGCATGTGTGCATGCCCAAAATCCCGAGAGAAGAATGGAGAAGATGGGAATGCAGTGTGGTCATCCCTCCTGGGAGGTGATTTCTCACTTTCCCTCTGTCTCTCTGACAAGCACAGGCACCCACAAAAACATTAAAAAAAAAAAAAATAGTAAAAAGACTTCAAATGTACCTCAATGAACTAGAAAAGCAAGAACTAAACCCAAAATTAGCAGAAAGAAAGAAATGAAGATCAGAACACCATAAACAAAATTAAGACTAAAAAAACATAATACAAAAAAAAAAACAAAAAAGAGGTTCTTTGAAGACATAAATAAACTTGATAAACCTGTAGCTAAACTAAGAAAAAGACCCAAATAAATAAAATCAGAGATGAAAAATTAGACATTACAAAAAATAACACGGAAATAGAAAAGATTCTAAGAAACTACCATGAACAAATTGGAAAATCTAAAAGAAATGGATAATGAATTCCTAGAAACATACAAACTATCACAATTGAATTAAGAAACAGAAAGTCTAAACAGATTACTATTAACAAGATTGAAGCAGTAATAAAGCCTATCAAAGAACAGTCCAGCACCTGAGGGTCTCGCTGCTAAAATCTATAAAACATGTAAAGAAGAATTAACACTGATTCTTTATAAACTTCCAACAAACTGAAAAAGAGGAAACTTGGGGCCGGCAAGTGGTGTGGTGGTTAAGGGCACACTCACAAGGCCGACTGCACTAGAGTCCCAGACCTGGCAGTTTGCTTTCTCACTCTCTCTCGCTTTCTCTCTTACTCTGCCCCTCTCTGATCAAATTAAAATAAGTAAAATAAAAGAAAAAAGAAGGAACTCTTTCAAACTCATCCTATAAGGTCAGCATTATTACTCTCAGATCCAAATCAGACAAAGACACAACAAAAAAAAGACTGGAGAACAGTAGGTGGCGTGATGGTTAAGGAGCTGGATTCCTACATGACCAACTACATACAGTTCAAGTCTCTGACATGGCAGCTTGCCTTCTTGCTTTCTTTTTCTCTGGTGAGTGTATGTATCCTATAACAAAATAAAAAATAATAATAACAAATTAAATAACTCTTTAAAAAAATAAAAAACTACAGATCAATATCCATGATGAACACAGATGCAAAAGTCCTCAACAAAACACTAATTCCAATAGCACATGCACACACACCCCAAAATTACACACCATGATTAAGTAGGATTTATCTGAGGTATGCAAGGATGGTCTAAATAAATGCAAATTCATAGATGCAATACATCACATTAATAAGATGGACAAAAACCATGACTGTCTCAGCAGATACAAAAAAAAGTACTGATGAAATTCACATTCCTTCATGATAAAACCTCAAGAAATTACAGATAGAAGGCACCTTGACACAACAAAGGTCATGTATGTCTGATCCACAGCTAACATCATACAGAACTGGAAAAGCTCAATGCTTTTCCACAATGATCTAGAACGAGACAAGGATGCCCACTTTCCCCATTCTACTTCAACATAGTACTGGAAATCATAGCCAGAACAATTAGGCAAGAGAAAGAAACAAAAGACATCCTAAATAAAAAGGAGAAAGTCAAATCGCCCCTATTTGAAAATGACATAATCTTATCTATAGAAAAAAAAATTAAGATTCTACCAAAAAAACTCTTAGAACTGATTTACAATTTAAATTGCAGAATACAAAAACTTTTCTTTGTATCAATTAACTAGCTAAGAAATTAAGAAAACTATCCCATTCACAATAACTACAAAAAAAAAAAAAAAAACCCACCCTTGGGAATATATTTAACCAAGAATGCAAAATTTCTCTATAATATAAACATAAACTATATGTAATATATATTACATATGCATAAACTATAAACTATAAAACACTGATGAAAAAACTAAAGACACACAAAAAAATGGCAAGGCACCCATTTTCATGGATTGAAAGAATACTGTTAAAATGTCCATATTACCCAAAACAATCTACAGATTGAACACAATCTCTCTTTTTGTAAATTTTTCCAGAAGGTATATGTGAACTATACACAAAGAGAGAAAGCAACCCCCAATGGGTTGTGGTCTAGCTACAATTCCTTCATTTCCCCATCCTGTTGAGGTTTGGGGCACACTTCAAACCAGGGAGGCTGGGATTAAAACTATGCAGTCAGACAGGTAGGATCTGGCTTCCTTAACCAAAAGGTCACAGGCCAGGCCTCAACTCAATCTCTATCAAAATTCCAATGATACTCTTTACAGAATAGAAAAAAAAAAATCCAAAAATTAACATGGAATCACAAAAGATCCTAAATAGCCAAAGCAACTTTGAACAAAAAAATAAAAGCTGGAAACATCACAATACCTGCCTTACATACTTCAAAGCTAGCATAACTAAATCAGCATGGAACTGGCATTAAAAACAACAGACGCCAGCAGGTGACATGGACATTAGGGTGCTGGACATGGCTGACCAAGGTTCAAGTCCCAGGTCTGGCAGCCTGCTTTATCACTTTCTCTCTCTCACATGTATCCTATAGGAAATTTCGAAATAACAATAAATAAAACCAAATAAATAATTCTTAAAGAAAAAATACCATAGTGCAATGAAACAGAACAGAGCACCAAGAAATAAATCCACATACTTACAGCTAACTGATTTTCAACAAAGGAATAGAACATACACTGAAAAAAGGACATTCTCTTCAATAAATGTTGAGAAAGGTAGCTAACCCATAGGGTGAAGAATGAAAGTAAACTCCTACCTTTAACTAGATCCTATCTCTCACCTCACAAAAAATAAATAAATAAATAAAAATGGGTCAAAGGTTAAATGTAGGACCTGAAACTATCAACAAGAAGATAGGAGAAACACTCAGGACATTGGTATAGACAAAGAGTTTTTTGGAAAAGACCTTAAAAGCATAGACAACAAAAGCAAAAATAGACAAATACGATTGTACTGAATTAGAAGTCGTCTTCACAATAAAGGAAATGATCAACAGAGCAAAGAGACTACTTGCAGAATGGAAGAAAATATGTGTAAACTGTTCACCTGACAGGAATTAATATCGAGAATATATAAGGAATTCAATATAACAGCAAAAAAATTAATTAAAAATCTGATTTTTTTTTTTCAAAAAAAAAGGGCACGTAGGGCCAGCTAGGAGGTATGATGATTAAGACAGGTGGATCCTACATGGCTGACTATGCATTTCAAGCTGTGCTTTAAAAGCAAGCCATGGTACCAGCAGTTAGCGTAATGGCTATGTCGCTGAACTCCCATATAGTCGACAGAGTTGCAGATCCAGTGGCTTAAACTCACACCAGCGCATGTGTGTGCGCATGCCCAACATCCAGAGAGGAGAAGGGATTGTGGTGTGGCCATCCCCCCAGGGGGTGATTTCTCCGCTTTCTGTCTCTGTCTTTCTGGAGAGCGCACACGCCCTATAGCAAAAACCTCTTAATAAACAACAACAAGCCAGGTATGTGTGAGTGCATGCCCAAAATCACGACGGAATGAAGAAGGGGTTCTGGTGTGGCCATCCCCCAGGGGGGTGATTTCTAACTTGCTGTCTCACTCTTGTCTCTCTGGCAAGTGCATGCCCTCTCTAGCAAATTTTAAAGTGGAGGAGAGGGAACATGATCTGAATATACATCTTTCAAAAGACATATGACTGGCAAGTATTTTTTAAAAGTGCTCACCATCAGCAATCATTAGGAAAATGCAAATCCAAACCATGAGATATTATCCCATCCCAGTTAGAATGGTTATCATCAAAAAGGAAAAAACAACAAATGCTGTTGAGAATGCATTCAGGGAAAAGGGATGTAAATTAGTACCACCATCATGGAAAACAGTATGGAGGTTTTATACAAAATAAATATAGAATGGCCGTATGATTGAGTCATCTTATTACTGGATATACTGTATATCCAAAGGAAATATGTATGTCAAAGAGATCCACACTCCCATGTTTAACGCAGCATTATTCACAATGCCCAGGATATACAACCAATGTAGGTGTTTGTATTTATCAACAGATAATACAAAATGTAAAAATGTAGCACAGACACACAATGGAATATTATTTCATTAAAAGGGATAAAATCCTGTCATTCCTGGCAATGTGGACAAGTCTGAAGGAATTTTGTTAAATGAAATAATTTAGGCACAGAAAGACAAATACTGCATGTTCTCACTCATGTGAAAGTCAAGAAAAAGTTGATCTCATAGAAGCAGAGAACAGAAAAGTGGTTATCAGAGCCTGAGAAGGTAGAGGATTCGAGTGTAGTTAATAGGTACAAAAATACAGTTAGACAGAATGATTAAATTCTAGTATTTTATAGCATCACAGAGTAACTATAGTTAATTTATTGTACATTTGTAAATAGCTGAAAGAGAGTATTTTTAATGTTCCTAACAAAAAGAAATGTTAAATGGTTGAGGTGACAGATATACTCATTATCCTGATTTGATCATGGTAATTTGATCACACTTTGATCCATGAACATGTATGATTACCATGTTTCAATTAAAAAAGGCTACTACTGGTAAGTCATGGGATAGTACATCTTAGATCTAAAATGAAATGAAATTGTACAACATTCAAAAAAACAGAGGCAGTGGTGGTGTTTCCTAAAATGGAAAATGCTAAGTATCTTTCTTAAGATAGACATTAAAAGTAGCAGCTAACATTTATTAATAATATATAATGATCTGTGCCTCCGTTTATCTGTAAAATGAGATTATTGGGAGAGTGCTCTAATAGGTAAGTAATAAATACTACCTATTATTACCATTTGGGATAGGGCAGCCAGGAATCCAGGTTTGCTGTGACCACCAATAAGATGAGGGTGGTCTGAGAAAGAAACATCCTTAAGAACAGGGCTTGGGGACCACAAATGGTGTAATAGTTTGGGGCACGTATGCGTGCATGCCCAAAATCCTAAGAGGAGAATGGAAAAAGGATTGTGGCATGGCCACCACTCCTGGGAGGTGATTTTTCGTTTTCTGTCTCTCTGTCTCTCCAGCCAGCACACACGCCCTATAGCAAAAATCTCTCCTAAAAAATGAACAGGGCTTGCTACCAGTTTAGGGGACCAAATCAGCAATGTACTTGACCCCACAATGACTGCTTTGTAATTAAAAGTCCATGTTCTCAAATCACAGTTATCAAATTTGGAACTCAGTGTCAGAGATTCAGATATTCTTTTGTCAGGGAATGTGACTATGACACTACAAAGAAACCCAACTATTAAAATAAGCTCCTTATTCTGAAAACTCCTATGAATGCAAATGATGGCTTGATCAATGTTCACCTAGACTGCAGCATCCTAGGACTTCTTAAACACATATTGCATGCTAGTCAGGGGCCTGAGATTCAAACAAACAAGGACTGGAGGTAGTTATGTGGGGAATAGGGAGAGGGAGATGTTTCCAGGGTCCCTTAGAGCAACACATACAAGGAATGAGCTGCATACACAACCAAGGAATCTGCTTTTCGCAGCCATTGCACACTGAGCCCCCATCAGAGAGGTGGACCAGTCGGCTTAATTAGCTGCAGACACTTATGGTTTCAAAACCTAAGGAAAGATAGACCTAACACCACATAATGTGAAAAACTGGATAAACATATCAATCCATCAGCAAAGAAAAAAAATAACCAGATTTATAGTACCTGGCTGCTCTGTGACATCAACTTTTGCAACATTAACCTCAAGATCTTCTCCCCATTCAGCGAAATTTTCCCATTCTGGTTGAAGATTTTGACAAGCAGGACACCATGGAGCATAACTAAGAAATACAATTTTAAAAAAAAAAAGCTCAGCACTATAATATGAGAATACCATTCATCTAGAAAAGAAAAATTCTAAATGTTTAATTTTTGAAGAATACTTTACCAAGAACAGTCACTGAAGATATCAAAGTGGTTAATTTGTATAGACAAAAATGGTTATAAAAGTGGTTATAACAATCTGGAAGTAAATTGTCAATAGATGATGCTAATTACATCAAAGTAATTCCAGGATAAAGTTCTTAAAGACACAAAAACTTTTCTCACATGCAAAACAGCTCCTTAAAGGCCTGTGAACTTTTCTATTAAAATGTAACCACCAGGGCCGGCAGGTGGCATAGTGGTTAAAAGCGATGGATTCCCACATGGCCAACCATGGTTCAAGTCCTGGACCTGGTTACTTGCTTCCTCCCTTTATCTCTCTCTCACTCTGTCCCGTTCTAGTCAAATTAAAATAAAGAAAGTTAAATAAAATAATTCTTTAAAAAGTGACCACCAATAAGCTCAAAGCCAAATTGAGAGTTTGCCAATTTTAATCATTTTACAATGTAGAATCACAAATACAAGGTGCTAGAAAGACAGGAAGCTCTCTGGACTGCTGTGAATTTTAAGGAAGCACCTGCTCCACTTCAAGTGGGCAACCATTACTACTAAATAGGATAGCCATAAGGGATGGCAGGCCCAGAAAGACGCCTATTCATATTTAAAAGAAGTTGCAGATCTGCATTTTTATGTAAAAATGTTAACGCAAAACTTAACCCCCACACAAATACTAAGCAGGCCAAACAACTCTTTTGGCTAGCCCATGATAAAAGTTTCCAAGAACTTGGATTTATAAATTCTGTGGCCAAGCATAATGGCATTTTAATTACTACTCTGGTATTATCTTCCCAGGCCCTGGATTTTCCCTGGAATTTTATGTTTCTATTTTATTGTGTATTATCTTATAGCCTGCCTCAGGTTTTTAATGGAACCAGGAAGAATAATGCCCATACTTGTTAGACACAGTACAATTTCTGTACTTTACATTTTCGTAAATTGCTTTAGGAAAATCAAACTCCAAGGCATTGTAAAATTGGGAAAACTTGACAAAACATACAAAACCAAACTCCTCAACAAAAAAATCATATTATAATAAAAATATATCCATAACAAAACTGCTGATCAAAACTGGATTTATTTAAAATAATTCAACTGTAATTATGGGCAGATTATTTTAGGACTACAATAGATCCCTTCTTTTTCAAGTCTGTTTTCTTAGTTGTTTTTAGAACAATCATTGAACCTCACAATCTTGAGTTAAGACAAAATAGAAAAAAACACTATCCTATTACCACATGATGCTCTAATACAGATTTAGCTCAGGTTTTGCTACGTTCTCCTTAATAGTTCTACATCTGTACAGTTTAAACGAGCTTAAACTGAGATATACTGTATTTGCATCTCAATTATTGTTTCGAACTCTGAATATTTTTCCGTGGCAATATAAAGCAAGGTACTCTTGACAAAACCAAATGTGGTCCCCAGTTCTACTTCTCTGCTTAAGCTTAAATGATGTTTTCTAAAAATTCATTTCATTGAGTTGCAGACTGTAATTTCCCCTATCTAATCCACTGCCTGCAAGTTCTAAATTTGGGGTATTTTCTTAATACCCCAAGAGTAACTGATTTGGCCTTCTGAGTTCTCTCTTGGGTTATCACTTCCACCTGCCTCCTTAACTGGCAACCCTAGCTCCATCCATGATCTAGGAAATACCAACTGGAACTTTGCTAAAGAACAAGGTGTCCTACTCTGCAGACCCAAAGAACCTAGCCTAATAAAGCAACTGGTTAATTAAGCTGCTCTCATTTGTAAAGTGGGGAAAAATAATTCCTATCAGAGCCTTGATAATTAAATAAGATGATGTATGTAAAGATTCTTAGCAGTGTCCAGTCGCTGAGTTAATTCAATAAGGATTTCATTAATATCAGTATCAATGACACTACCACCACCAACTTAGGATCTAAAGCAAAAGCAGATCATTTGTTTCCTACCACTGCAAAACAAAACGGAAGTTAGTAAAATGGAATCACCACACAAGACACATGGTTTTGCTGAAACAATACATGACAACATGGCGTTCTTATAAGGTTGTAATAGTCATACTAACTTTATCCTTTAATGAAATACCTCTTACAAAAGCCTGGGAGTCACAATCAAAGTATTCTCTACACTGCAAAAACACACACTCAAAAGGAAAAATAAGTTATGGAGTCGAAAAGACAGAGCAAAAGGAAAAATCGAAAAAAGAAAAAAGAAAACCAAGATACAAAAATAACTCTACTTGAATTTTCTCAGCATTTACAATAAAAAAAAGTGGCTAGTCTATAAAAAATAAAGCCCTGGTTTCTAACATTATACAGAGCCTAACTTTAATACTAGACAAAAAGCTAGGAGAGATTTTGTTCAATATCCTTTTCTGCAAAGCTTAGTGAAAGTAAGTCTAGAAGTTTGTGGAAAATCATTCTAATGTCATTAACTGTATGGATGGGAACTAGGCAGCTCCCCAGGTCCAACCCCATCCTCAAAGCCACGGAAAAGTGGCATGAAAACCTTTCAAGCCCACCACAGCCCTAGAAACACTTGGGAAGAAACTTATCTATCTAGTAAAACGAACAGAGGGTGGAACTAAGCCGGCGGCAGATCCCGTGAGGAGTTTGGGGATCCGAAGGAGTCGGGAACGCCGGGTCGGCGACTCAGGGGCGCAGTCTCAAGAAACTGCGGCCTGCGGGTGAAGTGGGTCCTCCGGCGCAGGACCCCAGCCAGCCTGGCGGGCCGAGGAGACCCGGGACAACCGCCCCGCACTCACAATTCTATCATCCATTCTCCTTCCAGCAACTCTCTCCAGTTCTCGTCCGTGATGACGCGCACATCGCTCCGCCGTCCGTGGGCCCAGGGGGTCCCCAAAAGCAAGAGCACCAGGATTGCCGGGGAAACCACGAGGCTCCCGGACGGCGCCATGTCGGCTGCTCGCCCACCCCACAGCAAGCACCGCAGCCCCACTCCCTGCAGCAGCTACCACTTCCGCCCTCTGCGCGCGGCGCTGCTCATGCGCACGACGGCGCGGGGAGGCGCGCGTGCCTAGAGGAATTTCAATGCGCAGGACTGGGCTCTAGTCCCAGTGGGTGGGGCGTAGGGGGCGAGGAAAGCGCGCCTCTCGGTAGTGCGCATGACAGAAAGTGGGCTCCTCCCACCGCCTAGAAGGCCCAGGACAGAAGGGAAGGAAAAGCGCGAGAGGGGGCGTGGCGAACGTGGAGCACGGCGTTGAGGAGGGATCGCTTAGATGTTGGGGCCGGCTTTTGCGCGCCAAATGACTGTCATTTATGCTTATCGAAGCCAATTGGTAAAATTTACTATAGAGGTTTGTAATTAAATGCTCATCAGTTTTCATTTGTTCCCTTTGAAAAATTTTGTAATAAAGCTAATGGGTGTTTATAGGAGTAAGCCTATGGGTTTACTTCTGGGTATTAAGACTGGGAAGATGCACACACCCCCCCCCATGGGGTAGCTTTTATATTCATTTTGGTATGAGCAGTGGTTACACGAGAGCACACGTATGTAAAAAAAGCCCATCGAGCTGTGCATCTTAAGATGAATGCACTTTATGCACATTCTGATGTTTGTTATTTCTCAGTTTGAAGACAATGCAGGTACATACAGAGATCCCGGATCACAACATCAAAACAGAGAAACAAAGAGGCTTGCCATAAATACTGGAGGATTCTTTTTTCCCCCAAATATTTGTAAATACCAGTGCAAACCAAAATGTGCACTGCCTTTAGAAATTATTAGTCTGTCAAATGAAAATGTATTACATTTCTTCACCTCAAAGTCACTCTTGAACCCACTCAAATGGCCTCTCCTCTGAATGGCTCTTTGGAGGACACCAGTGATCTGTGTGATGGCAAAGTCATTAGTTTGTCTGTATTCATCAAGTTTGACCAGATAGCATTCCAGTTTCCAAGCACTCCCTAAATACTCCCTAAAACATTACTTACTGTCTCCTCTGTGCTGAAGCATTTGTTTTTCTCCTTCACTGGCTTATCACACTTATTCACTACTCCCCCTCTACTTGACTTCCAGGTATTGGCATCCCCTGGGGTGCTTTACTGTCCCATGTTTCTCCTCAAATGGACACACTCCTCCAGATAACCTCATCCTGGCCTTCAATATGCCTATCCTTCTGGGAATTTACAGACATAGATATTCAATTCCATACTGGATATCTAATAGGCAGCCCAAACATCACATGGTCAAAAACTAGAATTATTGACTGTGGAGAGCAGCCAATCTGAGACAACATGGCGTGACCTTTAGATGCATGCAGAAATATGCTTCTGAGAGCTACTCTAGCAATGGCTATTGAGAGCATTTACATACAAAGAGCTATCTGCCTGTTGTTATCAGTTATCTTCCTGTTGTAGATATTTGATACTGCTGGGCAGTATGAGGCTAAAGGAAACTATATGTGTTTATCAGATTTCCCCAAAAGAAGAACAGAGAAATTACATGGTGCCAGTCGTTTTCACATCTTCAGACGATTTACATCCAAAAACAACTGGCTTTACATTCCATTTCCTCTTCCCCCATTCTCTTTACCTTCCATTTCCTTATACCCCATTTTCTGCCCTTTAAAAAAATAAACCTGAGGCCAATTCAAGGTCCCAGCTTCTCCATCAGAGAAATGTAATTTGTTATTGCATTTATTTCTAATCCACAGCCTTCCCCACTCAGAAAAATGTGTTCAGTCAAGCAGGGCCCAGCAATTGACACCCCCCCCAAAGCCTTTAGTCTCTATAAAGAGCCCCAAGGCCACCTGATGACTCCAACCAAAAACATACATGTAAATTCCTCATTGCTCTCTCTCTTTACTCCCTTCTGTACTCCATCAGTAAGTCCTAAAAACTCTGCCTCTATGGGACCAGCAGTTGGCATAATGGCAATGTCACTGGATCCCATGTGGCTTAAAACTCACACTGGGCGCATGTGCAGGTGGAGGAGAAGGGATGTGGTGTGGCCACCCCCCTGGGGGGGGGGGGGTTTCTCGCTTTCTGTCTCTCTGTCTTTCTCTTTCTGGCGAGTGCATGTGCCCTATAGCAAAAACCTCTTAAAAAAGAAAAAGAAAAAGAAAAAACTGCCTCTAAAACTCATCCTGAATCTGACCACCAACTTCCATCTCCACAGCCAACCTCTACTCCAGGGTTCTATCATCTCTTGCCTTGGGTATTATGAAAACTTTGTCATTGATCTTGCATCACTTCCAATTTCTCTAAATAAAACCCCAAGTGCTTCCCATGACACTAAAGATTAAATCCAAATTTCTGTTTTTCTCTTTCTTTCTTTCTTTCTTTTTTTTTTTTTTTTAAGAGATTTGTTCTATAGGGCACATGCACTTGCTAGCATCACAGACTGCAAAAAATCACCTCCTGGGGGGAATGGCCATGCACAATTCCTTCTCCATTCTTCTTTCAGGATTTTGGTCATGCACGCACACACACCCAGCATGAGTTTCAAGCCACGGGTCCTGGACTTGAACTGCGGTTGACCTTGTAGGGGTCCAGTGCTTTAACCACTATGCCACCTGCTGGCCCCTAACTCCAAATTTCTTAAATTCATCATTGCTTAAGAGGTCCTGTATGATCTGATGTCTACCTGCCTATGACCTGATATAGTCTCTCTCTTCTCTTCCTCATCCTGCTACACTCTAGTGCATAGACTATCTATCCAGTGGTCTTCATTCTTCTTCGTCATTTGTCTCAACATAAAATGTTACCTCAGAGTGGCCTTTGCTGACCACCACATGTAAGGAGGCCTCCCATTCTCTATCATATTAGTCCATTCTCTGCCTCACAAATATTTGTTAAATAAATGAATAAATGAATGGATAGATAAAGAAAATCATAGATAGTCATGTTTGTATTATAATGGATATGCTGCTTTGATAGAGTGTGAATGAATTCTCTATGGTGTTTCCCCCACCGTAGAGAATTGGATCGTGGCTCCAGACTATGAACTGTATTTACCATGAACATCATGGTTCATCATTATGATGAATATGTACCTCTCATATTCATCACTGTTTCTTTGATGCCTACAGGTCATTGATGTTACCTGATTCTGTTTGCCATGTAAATCTACAGTCCAAAAAATTAGAGGCACCAAAATTACTTACAGACATAGCAATTCTATGTGCTTAACTCAGTGAGTATTTGTGTATTTATGTATACATACATATTATATGCATATATACATATATACAGACAGATACACATATATATCAGTGAGTATAATGTGAACATTCTATATTTTAATATGTAATCATAAATGAAAAATAAGAATTTCTTTCACTTTTTTAAATTTTAATTTGACCATAGAGGGACAGCGTCACAGAGAGAGAGAGAGAAAGTGAAAAAGCAAGTCTCCAGATCCAAGATTCAAACCGTGGTCGGCTACGTGTGAGTCCAGCACCCTTGACCACCATGCCACCTGCCTGCTCTCCTTTTACTTTTTTTTTTTTTTCTAAGAAGTTTTCGCCTTAGGGCGCATGTGCTCTCCAGAAAGACAAAGAAATAGAGACAGTGAGAAGGAAAGTGAGAAATTATCCCCCAGGGGGGATGGCTACACCACAATCCCTTCTCCTTCATTCTCTTCCCAGGATCTTGGGCATGCACTCACATGCACCAAATGTGATTTTCAAGCCACTGGATCTGGGACCTGAACTATGATTAGCCAACGTGGTAGTCCAGTGACATAACTGCTACACCATCTGCTGGCCCTATACTTTTTTTTTTAATTTGCCAGAAGATGTGTATGTTCACTGAAGAGACAGAAAGAAAGGAGGAAAGTGAGAAAGCACCACCCATGGGACATGGTCGTGCTGTAATCTCTTCTCCTTTTCTCCCTCCTTTCAGGATTTTGGGCATACACACAGCTGCCTGGCACGTTTTTCAAGCCACCAAGACTGGGACTCAGACTAGCCACCTGTGGGATCTAGCCACCTTAACCACTAGGCCACAGACTGACCTTTAAAAACTAAAAATAATCAATCTTGCAACACCATAGTGATCAAACATGGCTGGCAACCTGATAAAATAAGAACAGCACTTTTATAAATAATTTAACAATATCTTTTTAAAATTATTTTATTTTATTGCATTTATTCATTCATTTATTTTAATTTGACCAGAAAGAGAGAGAAAGTGAGAAAGCAAGGCATCAGGTCTGGGACTCGAACCATGATAGGCATGTGGGAGTGTCTAGAACCTTAACCACCACACCACCTGCTTGCCCCTTAACAATATCTTTTAAGAATAAAAATATGTTTATACACTCTATACCATAAGGAAAGAACTTTAAACTTTACCATAAGGAAAGAACTGTAAACTTGGGTGTTTTCCATTTGAAAAAAATCCTCATATATATTCACAATAACGGATGAATAAGAGGAAAGATGTTACAGCATCTTTGATACAGTCAAAAGGAAAAGGTTTTGTATATCAGAGGTTGCAAAAGACATCTTTTTGTATTGCCTAGTTAGTGGCAGCAAAAGACTAACACTAAAACCAGAAACAAAACACAGCTGGAGAAGCTTGTGGCCATATGTCATCACGACAGGACGTGGTTCTTCAAATGATATGCCTCTGAGGCCAAGATTAAGAAGATTAATTATAGGGACCAACAGATACATAATGATCACATTGCTGGACTTCACGTAGTCAACCACAGTTTGAGTCCCGGACCTGGTGGCTGAAAACTCACATGGGATGCATGTGCATTTGTGCCCAAAATCATGAGATAAAGGATTACAGTGAGGCCATCCCCTATGGGGGGTGAGTTCTCACTTTCTGTCTCTCTGTCTATCCAGTGAATTCATGTGCCCTATAGCAAAATTCTCTAAAAAAAAAAAGAGAGAGATTAATTATATTCCTCACCTATCTAGGTGCAGACAGTCAAATGTAAGAAACATTCTAAATTTATGAGATTGGCTTTTAATTTTAACTTTAAAGAAACGTATTAAATGTTTGATAATGTTCATAAAATGTTTAAATCCAGCTAGAGAAAAACC